CTTACTTCATCCTGGCTTTGTGGTCTCTCTCAGTAGAAGGAGCAAGAAAAAAAAAAACTGAGATTACAAGGGAATCCTAATTGGTTAGGCCAGAAAACCTCATGTGGTAAAGGAGAAGTGTTAGAAGAGATCTCTGAATTTGTGAGAGCTTGTTTTTAACCTCTAACAGCCAAGAGATAGAGGCTGTATGTAGACTTGCAGGAGCTACTGAAGAGAAATTATTGCACTGGTTGAAGATTATTTACTTATCACCTCCTATAATTGCAATGCTTCATGTTTGTACATACTCCATTTTCACATATAGATTCTGGCTTAATTCTGTCACAGCCCTGTGAGGTGGTAGAGGGAAATGAACAGAGAGGAGAAACCATATGCTCAAAGGTATAGTTCACTGAGTTTCAACACAAGTTGCCTCAAAGTCCAAGAGTTTTTCAACTGGAAATACAAACCTTAGGACCGTATTTTGAAAGGGTTTTCCTATCAACCAAGCATTCGGATTTAGTAGTTAATTATTTCCTGTCAGTTGATATAATTCTGACTAAAGCATGACTTCTTGGTGTTCAGTTAGCCTTTCAAAGCTTTTGACCTAAGTGGTGTATTTTTCCAGTTATATGCTTGTCTTGTACTGCTGATATTACTGCCGCATTCACTTTACAACAAAGAGGATGAAAGTCTAGAGAGAGAAAAGACTCACCTAAGATGACCTAAGATGAGGAGCAGGAAAACCCAGGTTTTCTACGAATTGCACTGTACTGATTTGCAACACAAAATTCAAGTCTTTTTCTCAACTGATACAAACTCTACTCAAGTAGGTCCTGATTTCAGGAGCGCAAAGACCATTTATTTAGCCTTTGGAAGATGAAAGATCCTCCAAAATCCATCTAACGACCCTCAAAGTACTGACAATTCATGACTGTACCAAACATTATTGGAAATGAGGTTCATTAGGAAGGGCCTAGTCATTTTACTAAGTTTCTGCTCAACTGTATTCATTAACAAGTCAGGTCTTTACTTTTTTCTGGAAATCACATTTTAGATACAATGAAACAGCAGAGATCTGCTAATCCAGATTTAAGTTAAGATATTTTTACAGGACTCATCTTAAAAGTTTTCTCTAAACCTGACAGCCACACACAGGTCCCTAAGTATGAAGACCCTCCTTCTAGTGATCATCTTCCTACAGTGAGCACAGTATTTCTAAGGGGACTGATGCTAGGGAGAAGGAAGGATACTGCCTAAGTTGTAACGAATAACTGTTGTTCCCAGACTTTTGTGAATGTGACTGATTCCAGTTCTGCTATTATGTGGGTGGGTAGTTCTAAATCAAGTTTGTTTTCTCATTGATTTGAAAAAGGGATTCTACATCCTCTTTTCTAAGCTTCCAGACATCACAGTCCATGTTCTATATGTAATTCACATAAGCGGAACAGATGAAGTATAGGCTGGAAATTCAGAGTGGGTCACTTTTTTCTACTAGCATAATTTATACATTTACCATAGAAGTAGTAAGGGAAAAAAGCATTATTATTATTTATTTATTTGGAAAAAAATATTCTTAGGAAATGTTTTATTAAGGGCAACTAATATTTTCCCCTCACTTTGCTGCTACTCCTAAACCTCTGAGAGTTAAAATGTGATGTGATTTCTTAGAATTAAAAAAAAAATATCTTGAGCATCAAGCCACTTAATCCTTAGAAAATGAGCTTTTGTTACATTGCACAGATGGCTACCCAAAATGGTTGTCTCCATTCTTGTATTCTTAAAAAAAAAATAAAAATAAAATTACTTACTTCTGTGGTACTTTTTATAAAAGTCTTCACATATACAAGATCTCATGTAATCTTCACAGAAAGCAAACATTTTCCTAACAGATGAGAATACTGATCCTAGTCCCAGGTGACGTTACTAGTAATGGGCTATCAGGAATAGAACTTGGGTCGTTTGAGCCCAATGTTCTTTTTCTCATATACCAGGCCACCCTTAACTGTAAGAGATTTTGTCCCAAAGCATTTCCATTGCTTTGTTCAGAAAACTTAAAAAAGCCTAGTACAAAAATTCACAGAAGATAAAATGACTTGCTATCAAAGCCTTACTGGTGGTATACCTGATTTCCAGAGTCACAGAGTCAGGTCTCTGCATGTTCACCACCACACTGGTGTGTTTGTTCTACACCCACACAATCACCGCCCACAACTTTCTGACCAAATCAAGTACATTAAAAGAGAGGCATGATAATGCATTACCAGAGACCTGAATAAGTGCCCTCACAAAGTAAAACAGACCTTTCTGAAGGCTTACCCGAGTGCCTGCTGCTCCATCCTCTGACTGGGAACTGGTAATGGAATATTAAGAAGCCAAAACTGAGATTCCTGCTATGAAACTAACAACACAAAACACTGTAATTTTAGAAAAGTTTGTAAAAGACTGATTTGCTATGTTGAAACTATCAATGGGTAGAAGCCACATACTGAAAACTTAAATCCATGAAATTCATTCAAACTTTAAGAATTTGGAGAACTGTGAACATGGCAGACAGAGAGAGAGCTGTACACCTAAAGTCCAACAAAAGGTCTGAGTGCATCAGCCTATTGAGAAAAGCATCACAATGTGGTGACTATTCAAAGTGCTCCAGCTGGGGTCTGGTTAGGACTGTAGGATCTTTTTCTAAAATGCATTTCTTATATAAGAAGGATTATAAAAATATAATACACTAAGTACAAGCAAATTACCTTTTAGGGGCATTAAGATAAAAAAATATGTTTTTAAATGTTTATTCTAATTCTCTACTTCAAATGAAATACCGAACATAGGTGTTCTTAACTTTGGGGCAAATGTCCAATTCTTTGGTATCACCAGAAGACCCTAGAATCTGTAAACTAGATCTCTAGATAAATAATTTTCCACCATTTTCAACTGAGTCATTTTAAATAATATTCCCAAGTTTTTCACAAACCTGTTAAGGTCCCTAGCTGTCCAGCAATCAGCAAGATGACAGCAGGAAAGCTAGAACTCCTTTCATGCTTCTATGTAGCTTGGAGAAAAATAAATCTCAGTGGTAATCCAGTCACTAAGTCCTATCAAATGAAGCAAAGCTGATGGCTTTTTACCCTTGACTTAGGCTCAAAATTTTAAGTCATCCATTCCTTCAAGACGCACTATCTCAGCATTTTTGCAATATTTCATATTTAGAGATTAAATTTTGTAGGGAACTGTATCTATAATGGAAGATGGGGTCTGCTAATGAATTTTTGTTTTTTTGGCTTAATTTTTGTTTTTTGATACCAGGGAATGATTCTTTGAGACTCAATGTAAGTTCATTACTGTCTGCAAACAAGGGAAACCAGTAATCTTTAAATTCTCAAAGAGAGAATCCAAACAATAAATAAAAAATAAGAAATTAGCCAGAAAGCTGTAGCTTATTTCCCACTCAGAAAAAAAAAGTAACTGGTAATAAATAAGGGATAATTTCCATAAATGAATATTTTTTAAAGACAAAAGGGTTAAACTATGTAATATGTGCTACACTTTTACAGTCAGCTTGTCAGAAGATTTTATATCAACACTGACGGTCTCAGTACTTTCTCTTTTGCTGTTCTACAGCCAACCTTAAAAGGCAATTCCTCAGATTAAATTCATGCATTCCTAAAAATATAGACTGAAGTTACATGGGCAAAGGTCCATACTACATTTTTGGGAGAAACAGGGGAGAAATTATTCCTAAAAAGCATAAACTCTTTGGTGGAATTTTGTAAATACTGATTTTATTCTTTCACAGTTATGAGCATCTGATTTACCACATCTTTTGATTACCAACATCAGTCATAATTATGTTCTCTCTTTTTCTAGTCATTTTTATAAACTGAGGGCAAAAATATAATAACTATTATAGTGATTACATGAATTTTTCTATAGAAAGACAGTGAGATCTGGCTGAAATTGAACTTCTGACTCACAGACATTGCTACCATGAAATAATAACTAGAGATGTTTGTCTGCTGATAGGAAAAATTTACCTTTGGTATATAATAGGCAGTTATGAGGGTGTCAATTTATGAAAACTGAATATATAAAAATGGAGGATTTCCTGAAGTACTTACAATTAATAATTTTAGAGTGGAAGGAAATCTAGAAATTATTTAATCCAAATTTAATTCCTAGGTAAAAAGAATGAGGGACCGACAGAAAGACTTAGTTAAAATCACACTTCTCATGAGTGAGAGAGACAGAACTAGAGTTTGGGTCTAGTATTCCTGGTCAGTTATTCCTTACACTAAACAGTACTCACAGTTAAGAAGTCTTACTATTTGGAAATTCATCTTTCACCAGGAAGATATAAGATTTAAACAAAAAATTCAAATTATCATTTCTATTCTTCCTCCTAATTCAAGTTCTGCTGAATAAAGGATAGTTGAACTTCAGAAGGATGAGATCAGGATCAAGGGTATAGACTATTCAAAGTGGAAAAAAACTGAGATGTGATCATAATCCTTTCCTCTAGTCCTGAAATATGTTCATTTCAACAGTACTTCTCAGATTTGTCACTTACGTTTCAGACTTATAAATAAGACTGTGGTAACAAATCTCAAGATGTAGATTGATTCAGTGACAAACTTCATTTGAGCATTTTTCTTTCATGGCTACTGCAACCATGAAATCTATTTCTCTCAAAGGAGACTTCAGCCTCAGAGAGCTCACATGCACAGTGATCTCAATCAGTGAAAAGAACAGACAGTTTTTTGGTCATTCTTTAAATATATCTTAGATGGAAAGAAAATAAGAGAAAAAAAAGAAAAGAAGAAAAAGTTAACCTAGGAGAAAATTTTCACCAACAGATTCTCTAAACCATTAGTTCATAATGCAGTATATTATATGGTATAGTTAAGGCATATACGCATTTTAAACCTTTATAAGATTTGAGGTGGCTGTTTAAAAAAAGACTTTATAAAAGAGATGGAAAAATGTAAATTACAAGGGCTAAATCAAAATGAAAATCTGAAAAGTTAAAGCATATCTGCTTTTATTTTTAATTATTACATGAATTATAAAGAAGAAAAAGGGTATTAGAATGGAATTTGGATAGATGTATGCATGCCATGGCTAAGAATAAACAATGTTCCTATATATTCTAGTTAGTGAGAACATTATCAGCATAACAGGAAATTGTGACTTTTTAAAAATATGCAGAACTTATTATTTAATCTGTGCCTTAGAAATAACTGTATATAGTGTTATAAGTTGAAAAGAATTCAAAAGAATAACTAACATCGAGTATACACCTGTGTATAAGAATTCAGAAAAGGCTGCATTCTGTAAAGATAATCAGTTGTATTAAAAATGACATAAATCCAAAACAAGAAGTATGTTATACAAAAGGGACATTTTAAGATTTGCCTTTCGCATTAAACCCATGGTTTAATCCACAAAAATTTCCTATAAATTATCATTTAGACAGAAGCATGCAAATAGTCTTAGGATCTAATTAGAGTCTTCCCCAAATCCACTAAGGTACATATCCCACTTTCAGGAGCTAAGCAGGTATTCGGGTAGCTGCTTCCTCCTCTGCATCAGCTCGGTTTGCATTAATTTCCGCAAGTGTTCGGCCAAATCTTGCCCATTCATCATTTCGGGGGACAGCAATCTGCTATTAAAAGAAAGACAATGTTTTATGTACACTGAAATAAAAGATCACCTTATCCATTATTATTCAGTTTATTTTCAAATACTTTTCCTGTTAAAAAGTAATAATTGACCAGAATGGCCTTTTCAAAATTACAGGGACTATCACAGTGATTCACAACATTTTGAAACAAAAGACGGTACTTGTGAAATGTGTTGTGACAACCTCAGAAGTGATTTTGTGATTATCATCATCAATGCAAGAGAGAGTAACACTGATGTTCTGTAAATAAAACTGATGTACTCACTATCTCATGGATTTTGCTGGTGGTGAGGAATTCCTTAAAAATGTTTACTTCTTGCAACATTCCTGGCATAAAATAGTTTTTGAAACAAGGTTTGTAAGAGCTGGTTTCTTATAAGTATTTATTTTTGTTTGGAGCATAAGATAACCTTGCTTTGTATCTTAATCCCTTCATCAGAAAGTATGCCGCTTCTTACCAATTTAATGATATAACAATAGCAAAAGGGGAAAAGAGGCTTGTGATGTTTTCACCTCACTAAAGCAGTCCTATGACTAAAAATCTGACACTGCCAATATTAGGGCACAAACCACTCAGTGTGGATAATGGATGTGCCTGCTTCTAAATCTACCATATTAGATTAGATTGGACTGGACAGTGATATCTAATATGGTAGCACCAGATACATGTGACTGCTTACACTTAAATTACTTAGGTAAATTTTAAAATTCAGTTCTTCATGGGTACTAGCCACATGTTAGAGTTCAACAGCCATATGTAGCTAATGGCTACCACACTGGACAGTGCAGATACAGAGCAATTTCACCTGTGTGGATAGTTCAATTAGCTATTCTAAATGATTCATTCTATCTCTCTCCAGATCCACTTGCTAGAGGTTGCAGGGTGTCCAGACAGGATGGGGAATCATAAGGCAAAAAGAAGTGACTAAGGCACTAGCCAGGACTATATAAAAGGAGGAAATCACTCCTGGGCATTGTGTACAGCCAACCCAAGCATTAAAGATGAAAGCTGCAACTCAGCTTGTTGGATTCATTGAAAATGGCTTTGCAACAAGGCTCAGGAGTTAAGATGCACACTTCACATAGTCATCATATAACTCTCAAAAAATATTACGTTTCATTTCTACCACCTGGCCTAAACAAATCTATTAATACAGAAAAATAAAATCTTATCTCAATATCTATTCTGGAAAACTCCAAAGTCCAATAATAGCTCTAAATTTCTTCTTCTGCCTGAAGAATTTCTAATTTCCAACAATTTATACTTCAAGAAACAACATACTACCAACATACGATATTAACCTCAAAGTATGTTGCATGGGGACACAGGATAACCAATTTAAAAGAAAACTAAACTCAAGAGTCATTTCTGTGGTGAAAAGTTAAGTTTTATCTTTATAATCATGTGGCTTATACAATTCGTAAATCTCAAAGACTAGTTTTACCTATGAAGATACCATCACTACAATGCTGTGAAAGCTAAATAGGCATGTCAAAATAACAGGAAGTGAGCCCCATACCTCTCCCACATCAAATATAACAATCTGTCCTTCAGAATCACCCACAGCAATCTCTCTTCCAGAATGGGTCCATCGTACACGATTAAGAGCAGGATTACCCTCCACAGAAATGCTGGCAGTAGGGACCTGAAGCCATTTAAAATACAGTGCAATGTTAAAAGTTTCATCAAGATTTCTACGGACATGTAAAACAGTAATTATTCTTCCTTCCAATCTGGTTACATTTTTTTAAAACAAAGATGAAAATAGATAAAAAATTTTCCCAACTTTCTTCTTTCTGTTCAGTGATATGACATTACAGTCAATCCTTGAAAATGGTTTGGGAAAATAACTTAAGTCCTTATATAAGAAATTCACACATAACTGGATACATCATTGTGAAAGATCTTCTCTTTAATAAAGGTTTCTTTGTTGTTGTTTTAACTTAAGAAGTCAAGCTGTTTGAAAACAGATGGCCACAACCCCATTTTAAAGAAATATCTCAAAAGCCCTGATAAACAAATGATGGTTCAATTTTAGTGGGCAGGAATTATTTTTGTAGCTCGCCTGTCTGTCAGTTGAAACCTGTGAATTCATCCACAGCTACTAGAAACAGCTCATACTGAAGGTGCAGTATGGGTCTTTCCAAAGCCTTTGTTTCATGAACTGTCTGAGACAGGGCAGGATGATGGCACCCGCCCCTTGGAATCTGACTGCATCTCTCCTACACTAAGGGAAAAGAAACTTGCCATATTCAGAGCAAACATGCAATGCCTGACTCAGACTAAAGCACAATATGAATTACAAAATCTGATTTAAAATAAACCTTCTAACAGACATCAGTCATCCCTAAATGATGAACCCCCTAGAATGCAAAAATTACTAGAGAAAAATTGTAATTTAGATATGTTCTTCGAATTAACGATTATAAGAAAGACCCAAATTTAATGGTAACCACAAATCTCTGACACCAAAACCCAAACTAGGAAAATAAAATTGGTAACTATTCTAGGTAACTAGAAATGTATAGTCAAATCCAATCATCTAGCCAGGGCTTAATACTTTTTCATAGCTGTATTTTAACATTTTGCCTCAAACTACTAAACTAGTAGTTAGCACAGTTAAAATTCTTATATTTCCAATATATAACTTCCTTGTCCTATGGAACCAATTATATTTTACTTCAAGGTAAGGATGCCACCAGAAACATGAAGAGACATGAGAAAGAGTGGTCTGCGGAGGACGACACTGACACTTTCCCAGTGACTGTTAGTGACGGAACTGCCAACGTTACTTCACCACACTGCAATATAGAATCCTAACATCATTTTAAGCCTAAGTGAGTAAAAATGTGTACCTGGCTAAATATAAATAATACTGGCAGTTAAATTTCATTGCTAATAGTGATTTTAGTAAAGCAATTTAGGAAATTTGATAGTGTCTGTATTCATTTTATAGTAACAGTAACAGTTTTCACTCTCTTATGGAACAAGTCATCAAAATAAATTTTTCCTTCATTCAAACAAGTCAGGCTAAAACTAATGTTTACAGATGATATGCATTTCTATAAAGGCCAAGAGGTAACTTAGAAATTCAGAATTAAAATTAATATACTTCAACAACCTGTAATTATCCGCTTTCTAGCCTATGAGTGAAAAATAACCCAGTTGCCTTATGAATGAGACTCTGCTAGGACATTAGAGACATGATAGTGTTTTTTCAGAAGTAAAAGGAAATGCCCCAGTGCTCTTGGCAACATTATTTTTCTCCCTTCAGTTCTGCACAGCATGCTGTTTATTATTTAGGATACAAAGCTTATTTGGTTTCTTTGTGAAGCTACACAGAGAGCCCTTTTACATTCCTTGGGATAAAAGGAATTTTACAAATTATTCAATAAATCTCCAATTTTCTGTTTTTCAGAGCAATTTTTGTTATTTTCCTGCTTACCTCTGTGTCATTATTGAGATTCCACAAATCCAGCCTTCCCATGCCATCCACACAGGCAAACAAGGCTGGGTGGGTGGGTGACCACATAACATCGTAAACATAGTCTGAATTATCTTCAAATGAGTACAAAGGCTTGTTATTCTGAAAGGGAAAAGTTGATTCTTAGCACAGCCAAAATATGGTACACACTCAACAGGTATGATAACATTTTATGATCTTTAACTCAGCCTAGAAAAAGTTCCTCTGATTTGTTTCACTATAGAATTACCTGGAGTTATGAACTAGGAAGAATCAACTACTGGACTGCATTTTTTTTTAACTTGTTGATACCATCCTGTTTCAGAAAAGGAATAGAACGTGCTTTAAAAACATCTGTCAATGTCAAATAATGTCTCTACAGCATCTTACTATATTGATGGACAGTGACTGCAATGGGACGTGTGTGGGGGGACTTGATAATACGGGTGAATGTTGTAACCACAATGTTGCTCATGTGAAACCTTCATAAGATGATATTTTTTATTAAGTTAACTTAATAAAAAAAACCATCTGTCAATGAGAGGATTCTGGAAAGATAATAGCAATGGCAGTTTATTTTTTAATCAAATCTCCTTATAAACCCAGACAAAGCAATGAGAATAGCAAAACCAAAGATAGACAACACATACTACAAAATCAAGAGACAAAACTCAAAATGTAAGTGGGTAGAAACAAACCTCTGACAACTACAAGACCTGCACAATATAAGCATGACTGCAGGAAGAAGTATGGGAAGGCATGAGGACTTATGACAAAAAAACAGAACAGAAGAGCCTCAAAGCTGATAGCAGTTGCTCACTGGACAGCAAGGAGGTCAGTCTGAGAACAACAGCAGAAACTGGGAGGGAGTTCAACACAATTCCATTTATAAACAGATCCAAGCAGACTCCAATGTGACCTAAGGAAGGTCTTATGATACAGTCTAAGCATTATAAACTCTCATAATCAACAAATCCAAGTCTCACCAAATAGTCTCAACAGAGAGAAACTGCTGTAAGTAGAATCCAAGTTGTGGAATACAGCACAATAGGGACAAAAGAAAGAGTAGGCTTAGATAAAAGTGATGAAGAAAAGAAAAGACACATTTCAGAAAGTATATAGAGATACTCACTTTGTAAAAAACACATGAGAGCTTTAACCTGGACTGTAAAAACTAGAAAAGCTATCCTTCCTCATTCTCTCCCTCCTAAAAGTAGAGAAAGACTCATTTCACTAGTAAACAAAAGCAACAAAAAATGTTATCAGTCAAATCCCAAAAAAGCTATTGTGGCAGATCTTCAATAAAGGTGTCATGACTATTAAATGGGAAAAGAATAGTCTTGTCAACAAATGATGCTGGGACAACTGAATATGCACATGCAAAACACTGAGGTTAGACCCCTCCCTTCCTTACACCACACAGAAATTAACTCAAAATGTATCGTAGATCTAAACATAACAGGTGAAAATATAAAACTCTGAGGAGAAACATAGAATAAAATGTTATGACAGACTCAAGCAATGGCTTCTTAGATACAAAACCAAAAGCACAAGCAACAAAAAAGGAATAAAAAAAAAAAGATAAACTGGGCTTTATCAAAATTAAATACTCATGTGCTTCAAAAAATACCCTCAAGAAAGTGAAGAGACAACCTATACAATGGGATAAAATATTTGGAAATAATGTATCTGATAAGTCAGTTGTATCTAGAAATCCTACAATTCCTTAATAAAGAGGCAAATAACCTAATAAAAATTGGGCAAAGGACTTGAATAGACATTTCTTCAAAGAAGATCTACAAATAGAAAATAAGCACTTGACATGATGCGCAACACCATCATCCATCAGGGAAATGCAAATCAAAACAACAATACATCATTTTGCATCACTAGGATGGCTATGATAAAAAGGACAGACAATAAAAAGTGTTGTGAGGATGTTGAGAAATCAGAACCTTCATACATTGTTGGCAGAAATGTCATTTGGTACAGCTGCTTTGAAAAACAGTTCGGCAGTTCCTCAAAATGCTAATTAGAATTAACCATATGACCCAACAATTCTACTCCTGGATATACACCCAAGAGAAATGAAAGCATATGTACACACAAAAACTTATATGGGAGTGTTCACAGCAGCATTACTCTTAGCCCAAAATTAAGAAAACAAATTTTTAACAGAACTTAAAAGTAAACTAAAACCAGAAACTAAGAAGTTTTTTTTCTCCTAAGATCATTATTTTCCTATAACTCTCCTTGGCAACAATGCCAAATGAAGTCTCACTCTGGGTAATGGTCTTCAACTTAGGATGGACATAGCAATCTGCAGAGCTTTAAGAAAATCCAGATGCAGGGCTCCACCCTCCACGCACTTCATGAGTGTTTCCAGTGTTGCTCCCCAGTGATTCTAGTGCACACCAATGATGAACCACCACCGCGCGAAAGTCTATTACTCCTGATGCGATTGTGTACTTTTTCAAGAACATCCCATTTTCAGGCAATTTTACGGTCTCTCATCAAAGGCTGAAAACAGAAGTTCTTCACAAACATGTTCACATGCTCTACTCTGTTAAGAGGGTCTACATAATTTTCTAAAGGAGTTAATATCAATAGAAAAATGGGCAAAAGACTTGAACAGGCACTTCACAGAATGGCCAATAAATACACAGAAAGGGGCTTAATCTCATTAGTTTCAAGGTAATGCAAATTAAAACCACAATGCAGTAGGCACAGGAAATGTAACAGTGAGCATAAACAGTCCCTTCCCTCAGAAGGCTCAAACTCTAGTTGGGTAAAAAAAACTATCAGAGGAAGAGATTCAAGATGGCGGCATGATAGGTGAGATGAAGAATTCCTCCCCAAACCACAAATAGTATGATTTAGTTAATTGATACAACTAACCCTAAAAGAGCAACAAGAAAGAGGGCTGAACTAGACTGCACACAGACCTCACAAACAGAGCAGACCTCACAAAACAGGGTAACATATGAAAGCTTTAATCTGGCGGGACCCAAGCCCTTCCCCCACCAAGCTCACTGGTGGCAGGAAGAGAGATGGAGCGGGGGAGGGGGTGGAAGCCTAGAACTCCTGAACACGGAGCCCTGGAGGACTGCTTTGGGAGCAGAAACCTACACTGTGTGGTGCTCTGGACGTTGAGGAGCTCAGATAGGTGGAGTGTTTGAGAGAGAGATTGCTGCCATTTGTGAAGGAACAGGACAAAGGAAAGGCAGGCAGTCTGAGAGGCTTCTTAGCCGTGAGAGGGCTGCTGAAGGGGTGGGGTTTGCACAGAGCTTGCTGTGCAGGGGAGGGGAGAGCTGGAAAAGGTTGTCTGGGTGTGCTCCGCCCAGTGGTGGGAACTCTGAGGAGCTTCAGGCGCTTTATGCACCTGGCTGCCTACTCAGCTCTGAGGTCCCCCAACTGTGACATACATGCAGCCTGCTGCGCCTTCCTCCTAGACTGCCAGCACTGGTTTGCAAGCCTGCAGTCACTGTGCTGATGTCAGGTCAGCCAGAGGGAGGCCCCGCCTACAACAGCTAGAGACGCCAAGCACAGATGCTTACACCTGTGTGCTTGGCCACTGGCTCTGACACTGGAGACATGAACTACAGATGGGAATCAGGAAACAGATCTTTCCTCCCCCCAGGCACCAGCACCACTCCCCTATGACCCCAAACCTCACTCTACGGGCTGAGTAGCTCACCAATCTGCCTGAAAGAGAGTTCAAAATAAAAATCATAAACATGCTTATGGAGGTACAGAAAAATATTCAAGAACTCAGGAATGAATTTAAGTCGGAGATTCAATCATTAAGAAATTCCATATTTGTAATGAAACACAATGGAGGGATTTAAAAGCAGATTAGATGTAGAAGAGACAGTAAATGGAATAGAGATTAGAGAAGAGGAATACAAAGAAGCTGAGGCACAGAGAGAAAAAAGAATCTCTAAGAATGAAACAATATTGAGAGAACTGGGTGATCAATCTAAACGAAACAATATTCACATTATAGGGGTACCAGAAGAAGAAGAGAGAGAAAAAAGGATAGAAAGTGTCATTGAGGAGGTAATTGCGGAAAACTTCCCCAAACTGGGAAAGGAGATAGTCTCTCAAGCCATGGAGGTGCACAGATCTCCCAACACAAGGGACCCAAGGAAGACAACATCAAGACATACAGTAATTAAAATGGCAAAGATCAAGGATAAAGACAGACTTTTAAAAGCATCAAGAGAGAGAAAAAAGATCACATACAAAGGGAAGCCCATCAGGCTATCATCAGACTTCTCAACAGAAACCTTACAGGCCAGAAGGTAGTGGCATGATATATTTAATGCAATAAAGCATAAGGGCCTCAAACTGAGAATACTATACCTGGCAAGGTTATCATTTAAATTTGAAGGAGGGATAAAATAATTTTCAGATAAGAAAAAATTGAGAGAATTTACCTCCCACAAACCGCATCTACAGTGCATTTTTGATGGAGTCCTATAGATGGAAGTATTCCTCAGGCTAAATAGATGTCACCCAAGGGATAGACAAAGAATAGAGAATATGATTCATAACACAAAAAGAATGGAGGAGGAAGAAAAAGGAGGAAAAAAAAAAGAACCTTTAGGTTGTTTGTAATTGAACATGAAGTGAGTTAAATTAGACTGTTAGATAGTAAGGGAATTACCCTTGAACCTTTGGTAACCACGAATCTAAAGCCTGCAATGGCAATAAGTACATACTTATTGATAATCACCCTAAATGTAAATGGTCTGAATGCACCAATCAAAAGACACAGAGTCAGTCATAATGGATTAAATAATAAGACCTGTCTTTATGCTGCCTATAAGAGACTCACTTCAAACCCAAAGACATACACAGACTGAAAGAACAGGGATGGAAAAAGATGTTTCATGCAACTAACAGGGAGAAAAAAGCAGGAGTTGCAGTACTTGTATCAGACAAAATAGACTTCAAAACAAAGAAAGTCACAAGAGACAAAAAAGGACATTACATAATGACAAAGGGCTCAATCCAACAAGAGGATAAAACTATTATAAATATCTATGTACCCAACACAGGATCACCTACATATGTGAAACAAATACAAACAGAATTAAAGGGGGAAATAGAATGCAATG